GGGGCTCAGCAGAGCACGCAGCCCCTCCTGGGTCGCCTCCTGCGCTGGCTCCGGCGGGCGGCGCTGAGGGCGGCACCGCAGGCCACCGCGAAGATGTCCCCGATGTTCTCCTGGTGCCTGGCCGAGCACTCCAAGTAGGACACGGCGTGGACCTGCCGGGCCATGGCCTCTCCCTGCGGGGCGCCGTGGGGTCAGACCCCGCTCCGTGGAGCCCGGCTCCCCCAGCGCCCCGTCCTGGGGGGCACCCCCGGCCCGTCGGGGGGGTGGCACTTGCCTGCTGGTGGGAGATGGGCTCCAGGCGTCCCTCCTGCAGCTTGTGCAGCACCTCCCGGTCCCGCCGCAGGTCCGTCTTGCAGCCCACCAGCAGCACCGGGACGCCCTTGCAGAAGTGGTTCACCTCCGGGTACCACTGTGGGGGACACGCACGCACGTCACCCAGGGGATGGGGGACGCGGGACGGGCAGCAGCCCCGGCTCCACGCCACCCGGGCGGATGCGTTACCTTCGTGAGGATGTTGTCGTAGCTGTTGGGGCTGGTGACGTCAAAGCAGATGAGGACAACATTGGCGTCCGAGTAGGAGAGCGGGCGAAGCCTGTCGTAGTCTTCCTGTCCTGCCAGTTGGAGAAGCAGACCATTATGGACCAGTTCCCTACTGGGCTGGGTCCTCTGCAGTCTGGGACCGTGTCTGTCCCTCCAGCCTGGGGGGACAGTGGGGCTCTGGGGACACAAGGCAGAGGGTGACATCCACAGGGGACCAGGTTAACCCCCCGTCTCCCGTGGTCAGTGCATGGGGACACCCCCAAACCCGCAGGCGGTGCGGGGCTGGGGGGGACACGACTGCCTGCCCCGTCCCCTCCCGTCCCACCTGCCGTGTCCCAGAGGTGGATCTTCACGGGCTTGCCGTCAACCTGGAGGGAGGCCGTGTACTTCTCGAACACGGTGGGGACGTAGACCTGGCAGGGGACAGGGAGGGGACGTGAGACAGGTCCTGCCTGCCCGCGGGCAACGGCGGGGGGCAGTGGCGGAGGGGACCCCCCCGGGGAGGTGTGCGCAGGATGGGGCATGGGGAGGTACCCGGGGTCGGGAGAGGGAAACGGGGAGCAGGAGACGGTTGTGCATCCCTGGGGGGGGTGGGGTGGGGA